TGTTTGCAAAGATAACCCCTAATGAGCAGAAATGTTTCCAAGCTCTAGCCATTGATGTATTTATTGAAAACAATATTACATAAAGCAAAATTCCTGAACAAGAAAAGGATTTGACAAGGCCTTCAGAGGCCATTCAGTGGGAGTTCTGGGCCCTTATAACTTTAAAGGGTCACAGTGTATCAAGAGAGACATTTCAAAGAAGAACTTTACTTTAGTCATAGCAATGACTCAATGGATTCAGAGAACAAGTGAAATAATAGCAGCCCAAGAAACTGACAGTTATCACAGCAAGGAGGGGAAATTTGACAAACAGAAGGCTTTTGTGATAATCTCAACAATGTAATCGGTAAATGTGTGTGAAACTCCATCTCAGAGGCTGTGTGCCAAGTTTAGGAGCTGCCCAGAGGACATGCTGACCTACAACTCTGTGGTCATACACTTTTATTTCTCCGCTATTTTTCTGCCCCTAAAGATGAGCTGGGAAATTTCTTGTCCAAGTTACATTTTGTAAAATATTATTTAAACTTTGGAAATAGCAACAAATATTGAGGAATGAATATATTTGCAGAAAATGTTGGAGTGTTTTATGGATTCTTCCAACAGCTCAAAGCCTTTGCCCTATCAGTAGTTGAAATGTCTTTTCTCTATTCTTAAAGACTTGTTTATATTTTTCCAAAGCAAACTTTGTACTTATGGAAAAGTGCATAAAACAGAATCATTTGGCTCAATACAATTTTATAACAAAGTGAAAATACAAAATTAGCTAGCACCCAGATAAAACATATTACTAGCTCCCCAGGAATTGCCTCTTGGGCCCCCACCCTGGCACCACCTCTCTTCTAACAGCATAGATTATTTTGTATCCTGGTACTCAAGGAGGGTGGTCCTCCGCCCAGAGCATTTGGCAATGCCACAACCGGGGAGTAAGTTGCTGACTCCCAGCATTGAGTCAGCTCGGATGCTGCTGAGCATTCTATAGTACACAGCACACACCCAACTAAACAAAGAGTTAACACCAAGGTTGAGAAACCCTGCTTTACTAATGGAACCGTATAATATGTTTGCTTTTGTGCCTGGCTTCTCTTGTTCACTATGATTTCTGTGAAATTCACCCATGATGTCATGTGCACCAGTACTCCATTCATGCTCTTTGCTGAAAGGGATTCCTTTGCTCACTTTTTAAAAAGTTGTTTTTTAACCCTCAGATGTTCACTTGAAGATATTTTTAAAAATATACTTGTAGTTTCTCAAAATTTCAAATCTTAATTCTATATCTTTGCTAGCAGAAAGAAAGTGGAGGTGCTGGTTTATTGCAACAAAAATTAATACATTGCTTGCTTCTTTGTTTATTTGGCTGAGTGACTGATTGCTTTTTTAAAAATTAATTCAAGAACCAATTAGGATCCATTTTCTGCCAGGATCTTGTGGGTCCTGAAGGGCGTACAAGTAAGGAACTTATATTTTGGCACTTGGACATTTGGGTGTCAAGAGAAATACACTCCGGTTCCAGGATGGGGGATGTCATGTTTGGGAACAGAGTGGGGCTGGGGCGGGGCAGTAAGTAAGTGAAAATGACACCACACTTGCCTACCTTCTCAACACATTGCCTCGGTTTGCTTTTACACCACTTCTTACATCTTTTCATCATCATCTCACAAACCACCTTAAAACTGTTGAAAAGACAGCCGTTTTGGAGTATGTACTTTGGAAGAAGCATATCTTCCCATGATATACCTTCTGCCCTTGGCCTCATGTTTCCAAGTCCATTCAGGGATTTTACCTGGTCAGGCAAAATAATTAATTAAGTTCATTGGCTTTTAGTCACTAAGTAGCTAGAGGGGATTCTGAGTTAGCCTGCCCCTGTACAAATTTTATATCCATTCCTAAAGCAAATCACATTGCATTAATGTCTTAACCTCAGCATCACTGATATTTGGGGTCATTGGATTCAGCTCTAGGGGCTTTTCTGTGCACTGTAGGATGTTTAGCAGCCTCCTTGACTTTGACCCAGTGGATGGCAGTAATACCACTCCCTCTTCTCAGTTATGATAACCAAAAATGTCTCCAGATATGGCCAAAAGTCTTCTGGATGGGTGGGGCAAAAGCATCCCAAGTTGAGAACTACTGACCTAGTATATAGGACACATTTCTTTACCAAGCAAACATTTCAAGTATTATTCTTAGTAAATATCTCAGCTTAATAAAACTACTGGGCTTTGAATGCAAGCTCAGGGAATATCTTCAGTGTTCATTCTGTTTAGAACATGAAGCAGATTTAGGAAATGGAATAAACATATCAATCAATAAAATTATCATTTGGAGACCATACTCAAAACAGCTATGATTGTTTTCTTATATAGGTCCTTGGAAGGTTTGAAGGTCAGCTTTTGCAGGTTAACCTTTCTGTTCATAGTCTCTGTATTGGCTTGGACACAGGTTTAGTCTGGGATGACTGCAAGACTGATTTCTAAGGACATTTTCCTTTCGCTTAACATTTTGGTGGATAGTGTTTCTAGTATGCTTGAATATTCCATCCCAGGATCACAGTTCTCAACATGGAGGTTACTGCACTTCATACTACTGGAGGAAAGTCAGCTATTGGTAGATAGGGAAGGACAGCTAAAAACTTGTTGAATACTTATGCTAGCACTGTGCCAATCACTTTATGTGGGTATCTTATTTAATCTGCACAGCAACCTAACTGGGTAAATATAATTATTATGTGAATTATTCCTAACAGGGGAACTGAAGTGAAACAATTTGTTTAAGAGAAAATAGCTGGCATGTGGTAAAGCTTGGATTTGAACCCACATGTGGCAGATTCAAGAAGGCTTTAAGAGGTAGGGTTGTTTCCCCTGACCTTGAATTTTGATTGGTTCCATTACTAGTTTTAACCAATAAGAATGAGGTAGGTCTTAAAAGATCTGCAGTCTCAACGTTTATTTGTTTTGGAATGTTTCTCACACTCATGGCAGCAAGATGCCACAATTGAAGTTCGATTATCATAAGGCTTCCATAACGTAAGGAAGCTTAAGCTAACCATGTGGGGAGAGAGAGGCCATATAGAGAAGCAGTGAGGTGCCAGAAATATGGATGAGGCCTTCTTGTGCCTTCCAGCCCAACCCTGTCTGTAGCTGAACGAATGATCCCAGTGAATGAAGCACTGCCCATATTTTTCACCCATGTAACTATGAGGAAAAAATTCTTGCAGTTTTAAACCACTAAATTCTGGGGTAGGTTGTTACACAGCAACAAATAAGTAAAACATTAGGTTGGATTGACTCCAACACTTGGTAGTTTATACGGCAATTAGAGGGTCCAGGTCAGGAGAACTGACTTTGTTCTATTGCAATTGCCTTGTTGGGGAAGCTGCCCATGTTTTCTCTTCAGGCCACCAGATTCTGTGACTGAGGGTGGACTAGTGTTGCTTCCAGCTGTCAGGTTCTATGATTCTAAATGTGTACACACCTAAATCTATGGAATAAGAAACATGATCAGTATATTGTCAATTTCTTTGATTCACTAAACTTTAGTTCAAGAAGCTCTGCAGAGCCCATCTTTTTGACAACTTTTCTTAAGCTTGTTTTTCTTAAGAATATCTACAGAATCCAGAGATTTCATTAATAATCTAAGGCTGTGGAATCTCTAGGTAGACAGTTAAAACAATATTTCCCAAACTGGGGAAAAGATGTTATATAAATACACTCAAATGATTAATAGTTATGTTTTTATTTTACAGTTATCTTTTACTTATGGCAAGTGATACTGGCCTTCCATTTATACCAATGATAAGTTTTAAGGCAACTTTAAAGTAAAACAGTGAATTGATTTAAAAAATATTAAATTATAGTACCAGTGGTAGGAAAAATTGACTAAGATATGGAAGGTGATAGATAAATGACAAAAGTTTTGGAAATACTCAACAAGACAAAGCAAGCTAAAATGCCATTGCAACACACATATTTCTCTTTCTTATTGACCTGTTTATTCATGCCTGCAACTGGCTATTTTGGCTAATCACACAAGAGGGCCACTCTTGGTGCACATGACATTAATTGCCGTGGCAATCATTACTCCTGCACCACTGAATTTTGTTCAAGACATAATACACAGGAAAAAGAAGAAACGTTAAAAAAGAAGACAGAGATCTACTGTGGACTATTGAAAGTTCAATTTTGAAAGCCATGAATTTAGGTAGGAGTGTTATGTTTCATTTGGAATGACTAAATAATAGTTATTGTGACAGATCTTGGCTGTAAGGATAGGGAGACATGGAGAAGCCTTGAGCCAGAAGTCAATGAGCAGATTCTGGTGACATTTGGGCATGACAGAGCTGCTGTCTAAGTCTGGTTTGTAGATACCACTTCAAAATCTGCCTTCATTACCCCTCCTGGGCAATCTTACCCTGGATACTACAATTGCTAATCTGAAATTATATGGTGATTCATGCTTTTCATATTTATAGTAATATAAGCATAGAAATAAATCTGCAGATATATCTTCAAATCCTTTACAGCAGTTATCCTAGTGGTAGAAATTGGTGGGACATTCCCTTCTTAATGTCTGTATTTTTGCAATGACCATGCATTACATATCTGAAGAGAAAAAAATAAAAATCTAAATGAGAAAGAAAAATTAGAACATATATATACACACACGCTTCCTATTGGTTCTATTTCTCTGGAGAACCCTGACTAATACAACAACCAATTAATAATCATAAACAAACAAATAAATACTAGGTTCCTACTGCTTTTGCCTCCCACAACAGCTCTCCAAGTTAGATGGGGTCAGCAATATTATTCCCTTTCTGAGAGAGGAAGCTGAGGCATGCAAAGCTAAGTGTTCCCCTTCCTTTTCATCATACACAGCCAAAGATGCTACTCATAACACAATGGGCAAGACTCTTCCTGCAGCTAATTCTTGCTCCTGCAGACTTGTAATATAGTGTCAAAGATACCTCATTCTTTCACTCATTACTATTTAACTCCAGATAGTGCTGGATCCCATATGTCTTATGAAATGGACCTCACACAGAAGGTTTCCAAGTGCTTCATTGAGAACTTCTGACCAGTGATATGCAGGTATGATATGTCATCTCCCCTGGCTGTGCTTCGTGCAATATTTACCAAGTCATACTGGACTCTGCAGTAGGTTGACTGGTCATGCCCTTAAGTCTGCAGCAAAGCCAGCTGCTTCAGGGAGAAAATGAGAATACAGGTTTTGTGTTTTATACATTTATACACACACATATATATATAATTTTTCATTGGTTTATCTATCAGGTAGAAGGAATGGGGTAAACATAGTCTTTCACTGCAAAGGCTTGTGTCTTAATTCCTAACTGCTACTGAGTCTTCTTCCTTAGGAACCCCCAGTTATCCTTTAGTACCTGGGTTGGTGTAGACAATCTGTGTTGTGTCAAAAAAAAAAAAACAACACAAGTAGGCATGGTCTTACTAAGCTTGACACATCCTTCTGGTTTTCTGGAACTGTGCAATCCAGTTTCCTTTCCTTCCTCTCTCCTTATCTTACTTCAATGCCAAACAGAGTTTTGCTTAGAGCTCCTGGTGACAGGTTAAGTAAGAACCATTATTTTAGGTTTATCTGAGTCTTACTCTGGAGTTGAGCATCTACTTCAAGGCATTTGTCCTTCATTATCTTTCAGGACTGAAGGTCATTTCAGAGGCTACAAACATCTTTGCACAAATGACTGCGTTTGAAATTCATAAGATAGTGGAGTCAAGGTAAGATTTTTTTCTTCTACAATCCTAAGATTCTAAGAAATAAGGTGATTTAGACAAATGGGAGTGAGTAGAGAGTGGCAAATCAATGTCCCAATGTTCTATATCCAAGGCTTTCTCTTTAACAGCACATGTCTTTCATTCAATCAACAAATTAAAAAAATAACACTTGTTATGTATTTAGTACAATGATGAACAAAACAGACAGAGTTCATGCTTTTATGGAACTTAACTTCTATTGGGATCTCTTTCTGGAATAAGTTACATCAGTGATTCTCAACCAGAAGTGACTGTGCCCCTCAGAGGACACTTGCCTGAAGACACTTGATTGTCGCAGCTGGGAAGAGGAGGCGCTACTGGCATCTTATCTAATGGGTGAGGCCAGCGATGCTGCTAACCTCCTACAGTCCACAGCACAGTCCTCATAAGAAAGGATTATGGCCAAAATTTCAATAGTGCTGTGTTTAGAAACCCTGACACATATCAACTGTTTGATTTATGTATAAAAATAGAATTTAAACTTTATTTTAGATAAAGAGCCCTAAATACACATGATGGAGATTCCACCATACAACAACTGCTTGGTGAATAGAAATAGGAAGTTGAAGAAATTTCTCCCAAAGAAAGATATTAAAAATACTAATTAAGAAAATACAAGAGAAGAGTTTTTCAGTTACACACAATGTCAACAAACTGCTGCAACAACAGCAACATGCGACATGTAAGTAGTGTTTTCATATTATTGTGCTTCTGAGTTTCCCAACAATCCAATCACAAGGAAAATGAGAACCACACATTCAGATAACTAAAGACCTATTCTTTCCATTAAATTGGAATACCACCATTGCATATCTGGAAATTGACTTTTTAATTTAAAAGTCTAATTTCTGCGAAAGCAAGGAATCCTTGCAGGCAAAAATGACATCTTTTAAGACAGTGGATAGCTAATTCTAGAGATTTCTTTCTGAAGTAAAGAGAGAATAATGGAAGTGAGGTTATAGTCCTGAGCCTTGCAACTCTGTGCTGGGGCTATCTGGTCACTCCCGTGGGTGGCCAGTTGTCATCGTTTACTAGGGCATGATGCAACAGCTTTCTCAGATCAGGACAGATAAGAAGCAGCTGGTTCAATTGAGTTCCCTGCCTCCTTTTTTTTTTTTTCCTGTAACATGCCAGGCTTTTCCTTAAATACAAATTTGGGAATGTCAATCAACTCCAATGGGAAAAAATGAGTAGGAAATTAAATAACAGTAAGCAAATTAGTAGCCGGGAATAAATTTGCATTATGTTCGCACTCATAAACTTGTGTGACTTTACACAAATTATTTCTCCTCTTTGTCTCTTAATCTCCTCATATGTAAAATGAGAAGGGTGGATTAGATGACTTATGAAACCCTATGATTCACATGTTGACAGAATAAATTATGCTTATTGTAATTAGGAAGTGCTCAAGATGATCTGCTCCCACCCCGCTGCCTTTCTCACACTTTCTCTCCTTTGCTTGGGTTTAAAGACGAAGTTCTTAATAAAATGAACAGGATGTCATTTGTCTCTGGAAAAGCAGACTGACAACACTAGGCCACATGAGCACTTATCTTTGGGTCAAGTGCTAAAACTCAAAATCAACAAAATTGTATAGAGAAAATATCTGGGAGTTCATAGAACAAGGCCAAAGGTTGGGCCCCTATCCTAGTTTATTCTGTTCATGGCCAAGGTTGCTCTTTGTTGCAAGAGAGACCTGTTAAAATTGCATGGAAGGTGCTGTGCCACCCCCTTATCATAACTAGAAATATGTTTGAAACCCCTTTTGCAAGGAGCTGTGTTGTTTTAATCAACAGGAGTAGAAATTGCAGGTGGCATGGTATGTACTCAGATTCTAGATTCTAACGGAAATCTTTGTTTTCTCCTGAGTGTTTGTTTGGTGCTTATGCCTGGGATGATCATGGCTGTTTATGAGGGCTGTGTTTGGTATGGGCCTCAAATCAAAGCCCATGCTCACAGACTTTCAGTCTGCAAGGTTTTTTTGAAACACGCGGTTTTCCAATTCAACCAAAGTTCTAGGGAGATTCCAAAACTGACTATCAAAGCCAAGAATAAAGATGCCACTGTTTCTCTGCCAATGACAGGGGCCTTGTTGGGTGCTGGGAAATGTCTCTACCAGTCATGACTTCCACCCAATACCTCCTACTTGCTGGAGCTTTTGGGAGATCCCCAATGTTGAGCATCCTGGGTTGGTTGCCCCTCAGCTGGCTTCCAGAGTCTTGGTTCTTACACCCTCACAAGGTCTGGGGAGTGCCCTGGAAAAATTTTGCTAGCACAACAAAGCTTATTGTCTGTCTAGACAGCCCTTCTATCAGTCTCTGGACCAAATCAATAAGGAAGCAATTTTCATTTCAGAAATTAACGAGGAAAGCAGAGCTTTCCTTACTCAGGGAAGGAATAATACAGGCAACTTATTGTCCAGCAATAAGGCCCAGGTTAGTAAGTGCCAGTTATTATTTTATGGCCCTTAAAGAACCGGGTCAAGCAAACTCTATGCCCCCAAGCAACCCTGCAACCAGGTGCTTCCAGCTCTTTAGGCTCCTTTCCCAAAAATTAGTACAGCTGCTTCCTGGAGCTGGCTGGAAGGAGTTGAGGCTGCTGGAATTTGGCCTGGATCTGTAAATCTTTAACTAACAGGGGCCTAGTTTGATGTCTTTCTAAAAAAAAAAATCGGAAAGATAAGGAATGCTAGCTTTAAATTACCTTTGGGTTTGCAACTTTTAAAATTTCTTACTCTCCCTGTAGGGGACCCTCATCTTTCTCACCATTGATGGCACTTCTGTAGGTGAGCTGTAGAATGTGCCATGCCTTCAAAAAAATCTCATTGTTTGAGTCTCTCATGCTTGTCTTTCAACATGCTGATTTGCTCTGGCTACACTTTTGGAAACTGGCAGCCTTAGGGAGTATTTTGTGACCAGTATTATGATTTTGCTGTAAGCTTGCCAGTCTTTTTCTGATTCTGGTTGAGTCAGTCCTGTTGGGTCTTGATACTTCCTCTCTTTGTGTTTACTCCACAGGGGATTTCATCATAATGCCTCAGGGGATGGACTGCATACAGTTTTCCCTATATGTGATGGGACTCAGTCTCATTGTATTCCAAGTATTGGGCAATCTCTTCCACCTCTTTCCAAAATGGTACTTTTATTGTGTGTTTTTTTTAAACCTGCTTTTAATGGCAGGTTTTTGCCTCCCTTGCATATGAAAGAAGTTTGTGTTGAAGTTTTTTTCTAGCTCTGAATTAAGAATGATGTAGTTTGAGGGCTGGAAAGTGACTTTCTGGGGAAGTTTATTTCTTTCTCTAGGACATCTTTTGGGTTTGTTCCATCTTGAAGAACCTAATGTTGTGACCAATTTGAGAAGGAACTACCATAATTTAATAATTGGAATCAAGCATTACAGATATGGTGGAGTAAATGTTATAGGTTGACTCTTGGGTTAGATCAATCCAATCCAGGTGGTCACAAGAGCTAATATCCTTTCCCCTTGAGCTTTTCCAATCTGGTAAGACAGTTGTTCCAAACAGCAGATTAGAGCATCTAGAGATGGGGGTTTTCCTATTACCAAAGGAACAGAACAGGTAGCCTTCTCATCACTAATCAACAGCAAGTATAGTTTAGGAAGTCTCAGTTAGTATTCTGGGCCCCCAAATCCAGGTCAGGTCTAATTATAAACCTCAAAGGATTTTGGAATAAGGTCACTTCAGTCCATTTGACATCCTTTCATAACATTAAGAATGCCTTCACGTGAGTCCAGTCTCCATTTCCTGAGTATGCTGTAGTTACTAAGATTGAAATCATGGACTTGGATCACCTTTTCTATTCTTATTTTTTTCTATTCTTATTATTCCTTTAGGAGAGATTCAAGGCTCCTTATTTAATTTTGGAAACGATGAGTTCAGGCTACCTCTGCATTTTAGTTCCAAAATACAATATACGAAACTGAATTCACATGGTAAAAATTCCTAAACCACATCAAGTATGTTATGCAGTTATTCCTCTGCTCTAAATCCTGCAGTGACTCTCTATTTCACACAGGATAAAAGCTACAGTTCTTACTAGTACTACAGCCTCAAGGCTCCTGGCTCCACTGTGCCTACTGACCTCATCTCCTATGACTTCCTTCTACCATGCTTACTCCTTGCTGTTTCTTGAACATGCCAAGCATGTGCCAGCCTTAGAACCTGTGCTTTAGCTGTTATGTCCATATGGCTCACTTATCTACTCCAAGCCCCTGTTCCCCTCTCACTTTCTCCAGGAGGCCTCCCTGACTAGCCAGTTTAATCCTGTCATATGTCTCCTTCTTCTTCCTCAGAACTCCTGATTGCCCTGCTCTGCTTTACTCATTTTTTTTCACAAAGTGCTTAGAAATACTATATAACTTAATTATTTTGTTATTGTCTCCTCCACTAAGCTCCATAAAGACAGCAATTTTTGTCTGCTTTGTTCAAATATCACATTCCCACAATAGTGCCCTAGTATTTAATACTTGGAAGGTACTAAAGAATAAATAAATATTTAAATTTTTATTTATTTGTTTTTTTGTAGATTATACAAGTAAGAACATACATTATTTTTCTTTCTCTGTCTGACTTATTTCACTTAGCATAATACCCTCAAGTTCCCTCCATATTGTTGTAAATGGCAGGATTTCCTTCTTTTTATGGATGAATAGTATTCCACTGCACATATACAATGTATTTTCTTTATCCATTCATCCATCAACAGACACTTAGACTCTTTCCATGTCTTCGCTATTATAAATAATGCTGCAATGAACATGGGTGTGCAGGTATCTCTTTGACATAAAGAGTTGATTTCCTTTGGAACATCCCCAGAAATAGAAGTGCTGGATACACAGTGGCTGTACCAGTTACTTATTATTTTTTTTACAGTTTTAGTTTCTCCAAGCTTTAGGTCTTTTACTTTAAAGCAACCTCTCTGCTCCTCTGTGATAGAAAAATTCAGAACTCCAGAGATTTTGTATGGACACAGTTGTTTGGTTCACACTGGGGCTATCCAGTTTAAAAACAAACAAACCGACAAACAAAAAACTACATTTGTCAAGAGAATTGTGACCAGTTGCAAAAACACATAGTTAATAGTGTTCTTAGTAGTGTGCCCAACACTGGAGATAGAGAGATTCCTATAATTCAGATCATGCATTTCTCTGCTCAAAACCATCCAGTGGTGCCCTGGCTAGTGTGGCTTAGTGGATTGAGCACTGGCCTGTGAATCAAAATGTTGTTGGTTCGATTCCCAGTCAGGGCATATGACTGGATTGCAGGTTGGGTCCCCAGTTAGGGGCATGCGAGAGGCAGCCAATGTTTTGCTCACATATTGATGTTTCTCTCCTTCCCTTTCTCTCTCTCTAAAAATAAGGAAACAAAATATTAAAAAAGAAAACATCCAGTGGCTTTCCATCTCACTGTTAGGGGCCAAGCCTTTATACTGACACAGCTGGGTTAAGCTGAAACTTCTTTTCCCAGAATCCTTTTCACTGAATGATTCTGAGTCAGAATTGTGCAAGATTTGGAAGGCAGAAGCAGAACAGTGGCCATTACTCTTTGAATGTCTTTGCAGTCAAGTATGATGAAAAACAAACACAGATGTATCTGTTACTGAACACACACAC